GCTGCTACGAAAGTCCCACACCCTCTGCCCGGGGCAGAGCCGGCTCTTCCCTCTGACACCCCACTCAGGTCACTCCCCCTGAGCTGTCCTTGCTCCCCCTTCCCCCCCTTGGCTTTACTCTCTGTTCTGTTTGACCTGAGGAGAGGAGGAGGATGGAGCTGGGGGAGGGAGGAGGAGGAGGAAGGCGATGGAGGGACGGGCTGGGAGTTCCATGTCTGAACTTTTGAGTTCCTTTGTACTGTACATCTTTTTACTTTGGAATTTGCAATAAAGAGGTATGTCCATCTTGTTTTAACAACTTCTCCTGGCTGCCCTGTCGTTCTGTTACCTTCTCACAGCAGTAACCACCCCCCAAATCACCAAAATCCACACCCTCGGCCCAGACAGATGGTGGCTGCCAGGGCAGGACCCCGGGGGTGGCTTTGCAAGGTGGGGCTGGTCTGAAGCGTGGATGTCCAGCGCCAACCCCTGCCCATCTTGGGAGAGTCACATCAAAACCCCCTGGGCACGGCACAAAGCTCATCCCAGCTCATCCCAGTCCCATCCCAGTGCATTCCAGCCCCTGCTTTAGGGAGGCTGAGCGATGCTTTAGGGGACACACCCTGTCACAACCCCCCTGCCTGTGCTCCCTCGCTACCCCTGCATCTCCACGTTGCTCCAGGGGGACCTGCAGCCCCTCAGCAGCCCCTGTGGCTGGTGGGGGACCTGCCCTCGTCCTGCTCCAGAGCGAACACTCCAAGACCCACCAGTTCCCACCATCCACCAGCTCCGAGCTGCTCCTCGGGCTCCCCGCGGCCCAGGCAGACGCTCCACGGCACGGGGGGGCCGAGGTGACAGATGGCAGAGCAGCCCCTCAGTCCTGGCACCGCTGGGCCTGACCTTCACTGACGGGCAGGAGCCACCTGAGAGGACGCAGGGGCAGCTCCGTGCCAGGAACTGGCCATGCTGGTGCTTCAGGAAGCGGCTCCACTCAGGAAAAAAACAAAGCATTATGTAAATTGTGTAGAATTTAACCTGAAAGCCGCACTCAGGGGTTATTTGTCCTTCCCTTCCCTCTCCAGTGCTCGTAGGCCACTCGGTTGGGTTGGTGCAAACCCGTTCTTGATATAAAGAGAAGCCCTGGGTAACCCAAGGACGGGCCTTTCCCTGCCCAGGAGAACACACAAGGTCAGTCTCTCCACCTCAGTCCCTCCACGAGGCTTTACTGGGTCTTGTTTTCCTCCCCAGCAGTTTGTGGGAGATGCTCCAGTCTGGGAACCATCCCATTTTCAGGCGGCCAGGAGCCTCCTCCAGTGGCAGTAGTACATCAGGGTCATGGTGAGCAGGGTGGAGGTGAGGAAGGCTCCCAGGACGCCCAGGACCACTGGCTGGACCCAGCCCAGGGGGTCTCTGCTGTACGGGGGGGGTCGGTGCCGCTCGAAGAGCATGTCCCCGGTGAGAGGGGCCCTCCTGCCCCTCGCCCCCCCGGGCTGCAGCTGCACGGAGCTGAGGTGCTGCACGCTCTGGCTGTATCCCTCCACGTTCCTCTGCAGCTGCAGGCTCCGGTCTTGGTTCAGGTTTTTCCCCAGCTCCCGGGCGATGTCGGAGCGGCCGATGTGGCGGAGGCTCCGGACCAACCGGTCCCAGGTCGTCCCTTCTCCTGCCGTCACCAGCCAGTCCCTCAGGGCTTCCGAGCACCCCCTGGGGCCGCGGCGGGTCCGGCGGGGTGAGGTGGGGCTGCTCCTCTCGGAGAGATGCTCCAGCTCCAGCTCCAGCTCCTCCAGTTCCTTGTCGGGCCCGTTCAGCTCCGCCTGGAGCTGGAGGCACTCGGAGCGGGACAGCAGCTCGGCGATGCGGCCCATGGTGTGACGGCCCACGGTGGCGGCCACCGTGTCATCATCGCCCCGGCCACCCGCGGCCAGCAGGAGCAGGATGAGTCCCGCGGGTACCAGCATCGTTTGGGTTCCAGCAGGGATTGGGGTGCCCCTTGGCATCAGGGTGGCCCAGGAGCGCGGAACCCCCCTGCTGACCTCACAATTCCACCCCCCGACCTCACAGGGCGGCGTGTTCCAGGGACATCCGTCCCTCTGTCCAGCCACGACATCCTTTGCTTTCCCACATCCCCCTCTCCCTGGAGCATCCGTGGGATTCACCCGGGCTGGGATATCCGGGATGGGGACAGCCACTGCTCCCTGGGACACCTCCACCACCCTCCTCCCACCTCCCGAAGGCCACGGCAGCAGCTCCCCTGTCCCTCCCCAAGGAGGGAGGATGTAACACCCACCCCCTCACTCCCGGGACCTGCCTTTTCCTCTCCCACCCCAAATCCACGGAGCAGAGCCGGGTTTAGCTTCGCTCGGGGTCAAGGGCGACGACCCCGCAACCACGAGGTGGCAATGCAGCGCCGAGGTGACAGCGCAGCCCCGAGGTGACAGCGCAGCCCCGAGGTGACAGCGCAGCCCCGAGGTGACAGAGCCTTCCTCCCATTTTCCCGGCCTTTCTCCACGTCGTTCATCCACAGCGCCGGAATTTCGGGGGTCCCAATAAAGGCCGGATTGTTCCGGATGTTCCAGTGCCAGCACAAAGGCTCCAGCACCCAGGGATAACAGCGTGTCCCCTCCCGATCCGAGGGTCCGGCACCCAACTCCTCACCCTGGCACCCACCGAACCCCTGCCCCTTCCCCCCCGTCATTCCCAGCCCCCCCTTCTGCACCTCCCCCCTACTTGCAAGTGCCGGGGGTGTTCTCACCAGCAGCCAGACCTGCCCGAGACCCCCCTGAGCCCCCCCAGTCTGGGGGAATTGGGGGGGACGTTCCAGCAGGGCCCCCTCCTCAGCCATCGGTGCCACTGCCCGAAGGAGGGAAAGGGAAAGGGACCCCTCTTGGATCCCCCCAACACCCCAGACAAGGGAAGGGGATTCACCTGGACCCCCCATCACCCCTAATAAGGGAAGTGGACACATATGGACCCCCCCAGACCCATAACAAGGGAAGGGGATGCACCCAGACCCCCCTCGCCCCCAAGGACAGGAGTTGTTCAGGTAATCTCTTTAATACTGTGTAATACTTTTCTTTTTTAAAATACAGCATTTCTTGAGGTAGACCATCCCAGCCCTAGAGCTTGTCTGTCTCAGACATCAATAAGACATGAATTTAAATACTTTCATGTACAATATGTTGCAAAATGAGGTAGAAATGGTTACAGAGAGTGTACAAATAGGATAATAATAATAAGTCTTCAGGAACCCAGCACCACTTTTTGGAGGGATGGGGGGGTTGGAGCAAAGGGGGTGCCCTGGTAATGCCCTGGATGCAATAGGAAACTGTGGAAAAAATTGGGGAAAACTGGGAAAAAACCTGGCAGACACTTCAGGGTAGGGTGGGGTGGGGGGAGTCCCCGTGAGGGGTCTGTTCTCTCTGCATGTGCAGACCCTGAGGTTTGGGGGGGAGGGTTTCCTCTGAGGGGAGGGCCTGGAGCAGCTGCTTCCCCATCTATAGAGCACTAAAAATAATAAAAATTAGTTTGTGGTTTGTTTTTTTTTTTAATTAGGGGGGAAAAGCCCATCCCCCACAGCGATGCAAAGGGATGGGGGGGCCAGTGGATGGGTTGGGGAGGGGGGTTCATGCTCTGTGCAAAACCCCTGGCTCAGCCCTGATGGGTTTTTGGGGACCCAGGGAGAAGCAATTTCCCCAATCTGTGGCCACCAACGCTCAGAGGAGCCAAAATTCCCTGATTTCAGGCGAAAGAGGAACAGAGCCAGCACTGGAATCCTCTCAGCAAAGCCTGGGAGACCCCTGGGCCCCAAACCCACACTGGGAGAGGGATCCCCCCCCAGTCCCAGCCTAGTTCTGGGAACGGGGAACCCCCCCCCTGCTCCAAAAAGTGGTGCCAGCGACAGCTCCCAACCTACGGCACTAAACTTCCCGTTGAAGACACGTTACTCCACCAAACGCTACAATAACAATGTTAAAAGCAAAAATTAAAAATAAAATTATGGCATAATATACGTGGAAAGCACCCGAAATACATTCAAATTTCATCTTTGTAACAGCTTCAAGTTTATTTTTTTTTTTCTTCCTTTTTCTTTCTTCCTTTCTTCACCCCCTTTGGAAGCAAATGCATGAGGCAGTTTTGTCCCAGGTCGGAAAACTCTTTAAAAAAATCTCTTTTTTTTTTTTTTTCCTTTTTTTTTCTGAGAAGATAAAAAGAGTTTTTAAAAACACATTCTTTCATTTTTCTGAGGTAATTCTTTTCCTGAGTAGTTAAAAAGAAAAAAAAAAAAAAACAACAAACCAAAACAAACAAACAAACAAAAAAATACTACAGACCTTACAAAAATAAAAACCCAAGTCTAGGATATTCAACAATCTACAGCATTTTACTCCAAAACCTCCTGGTTTTGGGTGTAACCCCCTGGTTTTGGGGTGGAACTCCCTGGTTTTGGGGTTTAAACCCCTGGTTTGGGGTGTCACCCCCCGGTTTTGGGGTGGAACTCCCTGGTTTTGGGGTGTCACCTGTTTTTTTTGGGTGTCCCCCCTGCCCCCCCCCTCCCAGGTCAAGGTCATCGCCAGGGGCGAAGGGGCTGCTTGGCTCGAAAGACGCCCGAGGTATTTCTGTTGGGAACAATAAAAGCAGGTAAAAAAACACTAATAAAGCTTTTGGGTGGACGGGGGAGCTCGTGCCTCCGAGGCTGGAGCGGATCCCGATGGCGCAGAGCCGGATCCCGGGACAGCTCCAGCCCCGCTGGCACCGCCAGCCCAGGGACGGACAGAGGGAAAAATAATAAATAGGTTTATCCTGAGTCGAGGGGGGCGACACTCCCGAGAAACCACGGAGGGGGAAACTCCCCGGGTGAGTCCGAAACAGGAGAGGTGAGGTATGTGGTGCTGCCCGGCGTCTCCCGCCGAGGGATCCGAGCCCACCCGGAGAGCCGGAGTCCCGCAGACCCCAACCCAACCCTGCGCCCCAGATCCAGCCCCGCAGCCTCGGGGGCCATCCCGGCGCCCCCGTCCCCCCCCCCCGGTGCCGTCAGTGCCTGGTGCCGTACATCTTATCCCACTCCAGGAACAAGTCCAGCTCCTTCTGGGAGGCGGCGGGACGGACCTTGCAGAAGGCCTTCTCCAGGTCCTGGTAGGAGGTCGGCGGTCCCGGCAGCGCCCGGCGCGCGGCCCCGGCGTGCTGGCAGAGCCGCAGGAGCTCGGCGCCGGAGAAGCTCTCGGTGCGCTGCGCCAGCGCCGCCAGCTCCCGCTCGCTCAGGCAGCAGCTCTGCTGAGCCAGGGCCTGGCGCAGGATGTGGCGCCGCGCGGAGCCGTCCGGCAGCGGGATGTAGAGCCGCGTGCCGAAGCGCCGGTGCGACGCCTCGTCCATGCTGCCCGGCCGGGCCGTGGTGCCGATGACCACCACGTTCTGCTCGGATGAGGTAGCCACGTTGTCCAGGTAGGAGAGGAGCTGGGACTTGAGGTTGCCCGCCTGCCCGCCGTCCTCGCCCGCCCGGGCTCCCAGCAGGGCCTCGGCCTCGGTGATGAGCACCACGGCGGGCTGGCGGCAGCTGGCCACGAAGAACACGGTCTGCAGGATCTTCTCGGCTTCGGCCTTCCAGGTGGAGAGCAGGGTGGTCCCGCTGAGCCTCAGCAGGGTGGAGCCCAGCTGGGTGGAGATGCAGCGGCTCAGCAGCGTCTTGCCGGTGCCGCGGGGGCCGAAGAGCAGGAGGGTGCGGAGCGGGTGGCTCGCGCCGCTGTAGGCGCCGGGGCGCAGGATGGGCCACACCAGCTCCTCTTCGATGGCCGCCTTCACCGACACCTGCCCGGCCACGTCCGACCACTGCACCGGCGGCCCCCGCTCCACCACCTTGGTGTTCACCAGCTCCAGCACCAGCGGGTCGACGTTCTTGGGCTGCTCCTCCACCGGGGCGCTGCCGAACACCGGCGCCTTGGGGGGCAGCCGCAGCGGGAAGGGGGGTCCCGGCTCTGCCGCCCGCTCCCCGTTGGCCAAGGGGGGGCTGAACTTCTCGAAGGGCTCTGCCGGCCGCAGGGGCGCGTCCCCGGCGCCGTAGGGTGGCGAGACCATGCTCTTCATCTGCTGCCCGCCGTACTTGCCGGCGTGTTCCTCGGCGTTCCCCGCGCCCGCCGGCCGCTTCCCGGGCTTGAAGGCCACCTGGGGGGACTCGGCAGCGCCGCCGAACCCGTTGCCCCGGCACTCGCCGTTGTCCGACAGGGGGTAGGGGGACTTTGGCTGCTCGTAGCTGTATTTCCTGTACCTGCCCTCCCCGTCGTCCTCCCCGCCGATGTCGAACGCCTTCCTCTTCAGCGCGCCCGCCTCGGTGCCCAGCGGCGGCACGGCTAGCGGGGCCAGCCCGGCGCCCTGGTAGCCGTACCCGGGCACCCCGGGCGGGCGGGCGGCGGGCGGCGGGGCCGGGATGGGGGTGGGCGCTGCGATGCCGGAGGGCAGGTAGGAGGCGGGGGGGTGTGGCGGGTGGATGCCCCCGTAGCCCGGCTGCGGCGGGTAGGTGCCGGCGGCGTAGTTGTACACGGGGCCCGAGGAGCCGTAGCCCGGCACCAGGGCGGGCGAGGGGTGCGGGGGCTGCAGGAGCCCCGAGCCGTGGAGGGCGGACGGGTGCGGGGGGGGCAGCGCCGCCGCCGGCTGGGTGCAGTAGCCGGAGGGCAAGTAGGTGCCACCGTAGCCTGAGGGGTACTCCTGAGACGCCCCGAGCCCGCCGGAGCTGGCGGCCGCTCCCCCGCAGGAGTTGCCGGGGTACATGGGGTCGGCGAGGTTGGCCGACACCACCGGGGAGCCGCCGAGCCCGATGGCCCCGCCGCTGGCGGGCACCGCGGGCGGCACCACCCCCTTGGCGCCGGGGAGGCCATCGTGGATGGGTGTCAGGGGGTAGGTGCCGTCGGAGCCGTGAGCCCCCGGCCAGGGCTCCCCGTCCCCCTTCTGCCCGTTAACGGGCCCGAAGGCGCCATCCCCGTACCCGCCGAGCGCCGGGCGCTCGTAGGGCGCGTCCAGCACCCCCGAGTACTTCTCGGCGTACCTCTTGAGGAGGTTGGAGGCCGTGAGCGCCGAGATGTCGTCGTTGGCCCAGGCGTAGTTGAAGCGCTGGCGGGTGCTGGGGTACAGGTCGGACTTGTGGGCCGGCGAGGAGGTGGTGGAGGAGACGTCCAGGTGCTGCTCCGGCCACTGGTTCAGGGACTGGGCATGCTCTGGTGACCAGTGCATCTTCGACAGACCTGTGGGGACAGCACAGCATGGGTGAGACCTGGCCTGGCCTGGCCTGTGCCCCATGACACCCCCCCAGATGCTTCCATTCACTCTAAACTTTCACAGCATCCCAGAATCCTTGAGGCTGGAAAAGCCCTCGGACATCACCGAGTCCAACCTGTGCCCAACGCCCACCTTGCCACGCCCAGTCCTCCCTTGGACTCCTCCACCACCTCCCTGGGCAGCCCCTTCCGAGGCCTGACCACCCTTTCCACGAAGAAATTCTTCCACCCCAAAAATCCCCTTTGACCACGGGGGCCTCCACAGGGTCGGCATCACCCTCTCTTGCTCCAGTCCCCAAATACAGCGGCCTCTGAGGGCGGTGCCAGCGTGTCCCCCTCCCCACCCTGCTGTGGTCCCCCTGTCCCCCCCATCCTGCAGCCATCGCCTCTGGGGACGCCGATTCCAGGGCCAGGCGGGGACCTTGTGCCCCCCTCACTCTCCGCTCGCAGCCTTTAAGCCACTTTGTGGCCACGGCACAATTAGATTACTTAATGCTTTAATTGACTTATAGGGCATTTGTGCTTCCACTTTGGATATCAAACTTCCACAAGAGGATTTAGATGGTGGCTTTGCGTGGCTTGAGCCGCCCTCCTCCTGCATTCGTGGCCATTATCAAAGAGCTCCCGGTGGATGAAGGGGCAGCAGATCCTCCTGGAGCCCCAAGGGTTGATCCCAACCCCTGAACCCCGCTGCCAGCTAAAAACCGGCATCTCAAGACCGGCCCAGTGATGGAATTGCTTTTCCAAGAGCCTGGCAGAGCGTGTCCCGTGCCGTGGTGCGTGGCTTGGACACCCACCACGATGGCACAGCTCCTCCAGCCCCCATTCCTGAGCCCTGGAGCTGCCCTGAGGAGCAGGGCAGGGGGTTTACACCCTTGCAGGTTTGCAATCCTGGGGTGCCAACCAGCCCTTTAGGGACAAGATGCATTTTGGAGGAGAAAGACCCAAATCCCTGGAAAACCCAGGGAGGGGGAGGGCGGCGGGCAGGGGAGGAGTTGTCAGGGTTGAAATGGGACGTGAATGAGCGGCGGCGGAGCGGGACAGATGTTTCAATGCTCCCCTTGGCAGTGTGAGAAAATTACTGTCCAGTGACCAAATGGCCGGGCCGGTTCCCACCCTCGCTGCTGCCCATTATCCCCAGCGCAAGACAAAGGCGGGCAGGGGGGCTGGGCAGGGAGAATCCTATTGTTCCCGCCCGCCCTAATTATGGAAATCTTGTTAATCTATTCAGCAGCGACTCTGAACTGGGCTTTTGTTCGGGGGTTTTTAGCGGGGAGCACCACCGAGGGTGTCCAACGGCTCGGCGTGGGGATGGGGTGCGCTGCCTCCCGCCGCCCCCACCCCGGGAGAAGCTCCTCGGCCACGAGGCCTCGGGACGCTGGGCTGCCCCAGAGCAGCATCTCGGGCTGAGGGGGCTTTGTTGGGACAGGGATATCCCATCCCCAGCCCTGGTGTGCAGAGCACACCACGCACACGGACACACACACACACACACGTGTGCACGCGTGTCCTCACGCCCGTGTTGGCCCCACGCCCGCGGTGCTGATGGTGGTGCAGAGAAACTCCAGCAAAATTCCCGCAGGGATGACCCGCAGGCAGCATCTGCTGGTGGCTGCAGCGATCCCACCTCCCTGGGGGGATCAGGAGAGGGCTCCAGTGGATTTGGAAGGCAAAGGGACGCACAGGAGCAAACACGCCCAAGCTGGGGATGCACTAAAGCCAGGGTTTAAACCCAGCCCAACTCCCTCTGGAGCCCTGGGAAGAGGGACCAGCCCCTGGAGGGAGTGATCCAGATGGGCTGAACCCTTTGGTTGGATCATCCCAGTCCTCGGGTGCCGGGATGAGCCGCGGAGCCTCCTCCATCCTCCACCCCACGGTGCTCCCGCCGCTGTCGTGCCGGTTTAACGCTGACGGCTCCTCTGGGCCCCGCTGTCACTCGGAGCAGTTATGCTCTTTCCAAAATCCATTGAGCAGCCCCATTATCCCTGAAATTCCCACAGCAGCGTGGTCCGATGAGATCAGCTCCCAGAAGCTTCCCCGCTTCCAGGGGCTGCCCGACTTCCCAGGATTGTAACGCTCTGCCGTGCAAAGTTTGGGTCAGGGGAGAGAAAACCAGGATGCTGGAGCCTCCTTGCACAGCCCAGCCTTCACTGAGCGCTCCCACAGCCCTCAGGAGCCCCAAAAACACGGGATGTGTGTGATGGATCTTCCAGGCTGGACTGTGCACTCAGTGGTGGGTCTGGACAAAGAGCAGGAGAGAAGAGACTTCCCCAAGCCTGCCCAGGGATGGGAACGATTTTTTTCTTCTTCTAAATGATGTGTTTCCTGATGATCTCCCCGAAGCAGAGCCCCAGAGCTTTGGGGTTCGTCCCTGCCTCCTGGGAGCAGCGCAGGGAAAGTGCAACGGCACCACCCGAGTGAAATCAGGGCTGTAAATCACAATTATGACCCTGCAGACACCGTGCTGACCCTCACAGAGGACCCGGGGCTCGTGGCAACGTCTCGGAGCTGCTCCAGCACTAAGGCTGGGGATTAAAGCAATATTTGGGCATGCTGATACAGGTCTTGAGGCCGCACTTCGGTCATCTCCGATCAGTCCCCGTGTGGCGGGTCTGGAATAGGCAGAGCCCGTCCCAAAGGCAGGTCCAGGCACAAAGCCACGCTCAGGTCTCAGGTTCCACCCCCACCCCAGCCCAGGCGGGGATTCCAAGTGGCAAACACCAAGTTTTGGGGGGGGGGGGGAGGGGGTAAACCCACCGGGGGAGCTGCAGCGACATTGCCCGTCCCCTCCCCAGCCAGGGCTGGGATTGCAATCAGAGCAGGGTCAATGGACATGTGTTAAAAGGATTTGGGCTGACTCCCTCCCTCTCCCACCCCCCCCTCCACCCCCGGGGAGGATCCCGGGCGATCCCAAGGCTCCAGCGGCCGCTCCGGCCGCTCATATATCAAGTGCAGAGCAGCTGGACACCAGCACGGGCCGGGAGTGACCAACGGGCCGTTGTCCATCTGTGCTGCCCCCGAATGAAAAATTCATCCGGGTCCGGCAGCAGCTGAACGTCCCCATCTGTCACGGGCAGGGGAGAGGAACCCACCGCCAACGGCACCCGCGGGACACGGAGTCACGGCCCCTGGCCTGGGAATTCCGGGATCAAGGGGACATGGCAATAAAACCTGGGCGCTGTTAATAAGGAGGTGACCCGGGGAAGGGGTGGGGGGGGGTGGATTGGAGGAATTCTGCTCCGAGCATCGGTGGAAGAAGGTGGGTGGCAGGAAAATAAAAAGGAAATGGGAACGAAACGAAATAAAACAAAACCGATGATAACACGAGATGAAACGAAGCAAAGCACGGCACAGCAAAATAAAACAGACCGAAGCGAAACGAACTAAAATAGAAATAAGAAAGACGGGCCTAAAGGAGTGAAAAAAGCCAGCCTCCTTTGGCCATTTCTGTTTTTCTTGGCACCACTTGCCTCCAGGCCTCCTGGACCCCTCAGGCTGCTGAGATCCGGCCTTGAGCCCTGCGCCACCCCCAGGAACACAGGACAAAACTGCTCAGCTGCTTGTTTGGGTCTAGAACCCCCTGGAAGTTGGAGTTGGTTCAGCTCCGCTCCACCAGCACGATCCCTCTGCTGCGCCAAGGATGGGCATTAATTCCAAATGATTAATGATCCCATTAATCCATCACAGTGCTGCCCACTCCCTGCCATGGGTGGCTTCAGCTCCCTCTGACAGTGTCCACACTCCTCCAACGAACCTTCTCCTGCCCTGAACCACCTCACTGCTGCAGGACCTCCCTCGGGGGTGATGTTCCAGCTGTGGGCTCCACATTCCAGCTGTGGGCTCCCCCAGGACTCTGCCTGAAGGAAGATTTTCCCAGGGGCATCCCTGAGTGCTCAGGTCACCGGATCCCACCGTCCCCCAGGCCACCTCAAGGGGAAGGAGAAGCCTCAGCCTGTCCCAGGAAGGGTCCCATGGGTGCTGCTCAGATCCCTGTTGGGATGAAGGTCCAGTAATGAACCCCCCCAGGGGCAGGAGCCCCCAGCCCCGGGTCCATCTGCTGCAGGATCTGCCCTCGGGGGGGTCAGTGCCGGGGAAGGGGCTGCAGGAGGGAGATAATTCCCGCTGAGCACCGTCCGTGGCGGCAGCAGCAGCAGCAACGCTCCAGCTCCTCTACTCCACGGAACGAATCAATCTTAATTAACTCTAATTCTGGGGAGCCTCCCAGCCCCATCCAGCACCGCCGAGGCCGCTGCGTTTTCCGCCTCGGTGCCTGCCGGGCAGCGTGCTCCGCGGGGATTTGGCACGGCCTCCTCCTCTCCATCCTTCCTGCACCTCCTTCCTCGCTGTCCCCACCACACACACACGCCCTGGGGGATGAGGGATCCGACCCCATCCCCGGGGACCCCCATCCAGCTCCCGCCGGAGCGGGACAGGGGAGGCCTCTCAGCCTCTCGCCGTGGCTTTTGTTTTCACAAGCCTTTTGACTCGCGGATTCTTTTTTAAACACCGCCCTGGCAGCCTGAAAAGCCCAGCTCCCTCCTGCACTCCATTCACTAATGGATTTTCCAGAAGTTCCCCCTTTTCTGGCTGCTTTCTTTGCTGACACTGCTGCCCTCGTCCGCACCCGAGGCCGCAGCTCCTGGTGCTGGGAGGGATGGATGGACTCTGATTTGGGGGATCCTTTGCTGCAACCCCACCTTCTGCACTCTGGGATTGCATGGATCTGTGGCTATTATGAGCCAATTATAAGTATACACCATCATTTACAGCACTACATTATCATTTTATATATATATATATAAATATATATCACTATATTTATATATCTGTCACAGGCCGTGTATTTATGTGCACACAAATATTGTAGCCTGTGGTTTAAACACCTCGACCTGCCCCCACAGGGTCGCCTCCCAAAAGAAACCCCCAAAATGTTAAAGAATAATCAGGTGGCAGCAGTGTTGCAGTG